AATTATAATAAAAACAAATTACAAGATCAAGAAATAATTGAAGATTCTTATAAGAACATGACTGACGAATTAAAAATAAATGATAACGAATATGATGAAAATGAAAAAAATAATCAACCAAAAATACACAATCGTAGTAAAAAAAATAAAGAACAAAATACACATAATATTAGACAAACGCGCAGCTCAAAAGTAGTAAGTGTTATAAGCGATGATGAAAGCTATGAAAAATAAATACACAAATTCATATACCAAATATTAGCCGAAAGAACTTATAAACATTATTATTACAATTATATAAGTTTATTTCAATCTATCTATCGATGTATATACAAAAATTATAAATATCTCTTATCAATTTATTTTTTATTATAATAAAAAATGAATGCAACATTCTATTAAATACATAAATATCACAAAAAAAACCCCTATATATCAAAAAAGATCTCAAACATCATTATTTATAATAATAAAAATTGAATAAACCACCATAATTAATTGAAGCAATCTTCAAAAACTTTACTAAAAAATCACAACACAAATACGAATAATAAACTTTAGCAATTAACGCTTTGAAATTACGACAAACTGGCTAACCAATTTACCACAAATTAAAAATTGAACTCTAACACACATATATATTTCATATATATCTATATTAGAATACACTCTAAATATAAAATCCTGAAAGACTCAAACATTGTTAGTAAAATACTTAAAATTTAACCTGATAATTCTAAATAACAACCAACATTCAAGCTACTTATACCTAATTAGTTAATCACAATAACCAATCAAAAAACAACCAATTATAAAATATTCTTTTAGCTACACACACTCTGGCAAAACACAAAACTATGGCAAAAACCTGGTAAACAAAGACCCTGGAGAAAGTCAAACACAGCGAAGATCAAATCCTCTAAATTAAACTATTTTGCATATTGCTATTAAGCACAGCATGTGGCTTATAATATACAAAAGTAATAAACAAAGCGATGACCTTTGTTAGTATTCGAGTACTATTAAAAAAAACTAGACTTCAAGCTTTTGAACTTAAAATAAATAAATTCTGCCTTGAAAATTTAAAGCATGAAATCATGTTTTCTTTTAGTAGCACATTAATATTATTCATGTAAAGTAAACTTAACTAAATATTTAAATAAATTTATTACTATAATGTTAAGAATTTTTCTTTTTAGCATTTTGTTAAATTTTAATTAAATATTATACTTATATAAGTAATTTGTTAACATTATTATTGGCAATTATTTCCCAAAGCTCTATTCTAAATATCAGAGCTAACTTTAAGATCAAATATAGTAAAATTTAGATTATTAATCAAAAAACATCATATACAGCATGATTAAGCACATATACGTGACAAATAAATCTGTGTTAGGTTAAAATTAAATATTAGGTTGGGTAAAAAGGCTATGGGTCAAAATCCCGACAAGTGAAATCCCGACAGGTCATAATCCTGACAAAAAAATCCCTACAGCCAAAAAACTGGCAGTTAAAAATCCCGACAATTAAAAATTCTGATGTAAATAAATTAACTCTAGTCTAATTCTTATCTAAAGTGACCTAACCCTAAAGTGAATTAAATTATAAGAGGCTACTTCGCTTAACATACCCGATATTCAGGATTTTCTACTTGAAAATTCTGACTGTCGGGATTTTTTATGGTGGGATTTTGACTATCGGGATTTTTTTGTCGGGATTTTACCTGTCGGGATTGTGCTTATCAGGATTCTGACCGGCACTTGGCAAAAGTCTGTGCTAGAAGTAGTACCGTATTGTCGCGAAATAACGCATTATTTAGAAAATCGTACCACTAAAAATAATATATATGGTTTCTCTATATAACGCGCATCCAAAAAAAGTGCTTCGGAATAGGTTTTCTTAGTACCAAACTTACTTCCAAAGCACTTTATTGTTTACTTAAAAAAGTTTATATTTGTTTCAAAATAACTCCCCGGCACGTACTCTAAATAAGCGCCTATACTTAAAATAATGCGCCGGGATGCGTTATTTCGCGACAATACGGTAATTATATCTATTCTAAAATCCAAATCTGGGCATCTGTAGGTAGGTTATCTAAATAGTAATATTAATAAAAAGATTAATAATTAGATAAAAAGATTTTAAATTTTTTTAATAACTTTTCTATTCTTGTTTCTTTATTATTTTTTACTAATTTTATTAATTTTTGTTTAGTTTTTCACCTTATAGCAGTTTTGCCAGTTTTGCCAGTTTCGCCATTTTGTCATTTTGAATTTTTTTTTGGCAAAATCGAAACTAGTTTTGACTTTTGCCAATAGCAAAACCTCTAGGTTTTGCCTAACAACACTAGTTGCGCAAGTATTCTAATGAAAATTTAATAGTATTAAACGTGTTAACATTTATAATATTAAAGTTATCTGCAGAATAAGTATCATATCTTTTATATAAGTGGTAGAAACTTGCGTAATTTTACATGTACATTTCTGGAATGTAATTTTTGTATGTAGTTTTTGTATGTAAATAGCGTTTACCAAAAATTTCATAAAGTTGGTCTAGTAGTGCTGGTAAAACCTTCATAATAATAATGTGACAATGCATTATTAGCTATTTAATGTAAAAGTTACGTACATACGTACGTATACGTACAATTTTGTAAATTTATTTATTACGCTGAAATTACAAACTTAATCGAATCAGCTGGAATAATTTGGTCAATTTTTATCAGGTATTTCAGGTATTATATGAAAGTTGTAAACACATATAATAGCCTGTGACCAATAGGCACTGTATATTTTTAATGGGTATTACCGGGCCTTATCGGGCCTCTTTATAATACCCAGTCCCAGCCTATTATTTTACAAGCCTGGCCCGAGCCCGGCCCAATTAATCACGGGCTTAAAAATTTGAGCCCAGGCCCAGCCCAAGTCTAACCCAACCCGCAAATTGCCGGGTTTGGCCCGACCCGCTACATACCCTAACTATTATAAAAATTATAAGACTATATGTGTATATCTAGGGTGCGGAACGGGCTGGGCTTTACTGAACCCAAAACAAAATGTGAAAAATATTTTTGAGCCCGAGCCCGGCCCGAAAAAAATAAAAGCCCGGTGTTGTGGACCCGGGCCGAACCTGTTTAAAATCAGGCCCGGCCAGCCCGATCTGTTCACCTACTGCCATTATAGATATTTTCATAATTTCTGAAACACGTGATAAAAATCTGCCAAATAATTTTTCAGCCGTTTCAGTTAAGTTATTATTTCAGCATAATAATAATAGAGCAAATCTATTTGTAACCGGCGGTGACAGTTCCGAGCCAATCAGATTGCAAGATTAGATATATGCCATTTGAAGTTGATTCTTCAGTTAACGTAACCCCCCCTCCTGGCCATCCCCCCAAAAATGAACAAGCCAATCACAGTATAGTAATATTGTTGTCCAATTTGTAATAATGTTGTCCAATCATATTCATCCAGTAATTGTCTTGTGATTGGCTTGTTTAATTTTTTTGTTTAATTTGTTACCACCCCCACCCCCCCTGTCCGAGCTCAAAAGTTGACGTTAACCGAAGAATCAACTTCAAATGACCATAACAAGAAAATTCAAAAAATTACAAATCGCAATAAGCCTATGAAACCACCATTTGTGTTTTAACAAAAATGTTTCTTGGGGCATTTACTAAATAATAAACCTACTTCTAACTCTAAATCCAACCCTAACCCAAATCCGGTTACTGTCACCAACAGTGACAAGCACATTTTTTCAATAAAATTACAAATTCATATAGGCAGATTCGACGCATTTTCATTAGGCCGTTTGAATTTGAAAATTCATTTAATGTTCCCCCCCTACCACTGGAGCTTCCCTCAATATTAAACAAGCCAATAGAAAACAAGTATAAAAAAATATATATATATCACAAAAAAAAACCCCGGGTATAAATGAACCCAAATCAGGTATATTTTGAACCTAATTTTAGGTCTGTTTAATTTTTAGGGTTTGTTTAACCCCCCCTTCAAGCAAATATGAAAAAAAGGAAATGAATCTTTAAATTCAAACGGCGATTTGCACATCAATTTTGTGATTAACCAATTAAGTTCTTAGTTTGGCTTATTTTGATTTTCTATTTTAGATTTTGATTTTCTATTTAGGGGTCCGCTAAAGCTTTGTACCCACATGATTTTTTCTATGTAGATCATCAACAAAATCATGAGATTTTGTTTACACGGATCAGCCTGAAAAATCAAAAAAAAATGATAAAATATGGTGCAGGAAATCTATACTCAACAGTTACACAAAGTGTTTTAATTTTTTAAATGGCTATAACTTTTTATCTAAGAGGTTTTAAAAAAATCTGATCAGTAACTTTATAGAGCTATATTAGCACTACATATATGCCAAATATCTTTTCAAAATCTCATCACTATAATGAGTTGAAGCTTTTTGAAAATTGAAATTTTATATATAAATTTGCAAATTTATATATGAAATTTCAATTTTCAAAAAGCTTCAACTCATTACAGTACTGAGATTTTGAAAAGATATTTGGTATATATGTAGTGCTAATATAGCTCTATAAAGTTACCAGTCAGATTTTTTTAAAACCTCTTAGATAAAAAGTTATAG